TTGTTAATCCTCATCCAAGGATATTTTTCCATTGATTTTTTTTTTTTGAGAGAGAGGGAGAGAGAGACACATCGATTAGCTGCCTCGCACTTGAACCCGGACCAGGCCCAGGGGTCGATCCTGCAACCAAGGTGCACGCCCTCGACCCGAATCGAACCCGGGGGGCCCTTCACTCCGCGGTCCGCGGCCCTACCCACTGAGCCAAACCGGCGGGGGCCTGGCTCCCGCTCTGACATCAATCATTTTCTTAAAAAAAATAATAATTCTTTCTTGTGGTGATGACGTGAGAACCCGCCCGCAGTGGCTCACAGGGGCGCCGTCCTGTCTCCGCAGGTGGACGACCAGATGAAGCTGCTGCAGAACTGCTGGAGCGAGCTGCTCATCTTGGACCACCTCTTCCGGCAGGTGGTCCACGGCAAGGACGGCTGCATCGCCCTGGTCACCGGGCAGCAGGTGAGGCGGGCGCCCAGCCGGCGTCTTCGTCCGAAGCACGTTCCCAGCCGCAGGGCTGCCTCGGGGCCCTGGGCCCCCACGTGCTTGGAAAGGGCGGACGGCGGCGGGTGATGGAGGAGATCTCGCAGCCACACCGTGTCCCCGGCTGATGGTTACCGGGGGCCTGTCCGTCCTTGCGGGCAGGATCGCAGACACCCGGCCGAGGCCGGCCTGCTGGGCTCAGAGGGGTCCAAACAACCACTGAGTCAGAATTTGCCGTCGGTCCGGCCGGCCGGCGTGGCTCAGTGGTTGAGCGTCAACCTAGGAACCAGGAGGTCAGGGTTCGATTCCTGGTCAGGGCACAGGCCCGGGTTGCGGGTTCCATCCCCAGTGCAGGGCGTGCAGGAGGCAGTCGGTCCGTGATTCTCTCTCATCATGGATGTTTCTATCTCTCTCTCCCTTCCTCTCTGAAATCAATAAAAAAATATATTTTTTAAGAAATAAAGGCCAGGGACTCCGTGTTCTGGTGAGTGGACGGCACTGTTCCTACTCCGGCATCACCCCAGTCGGTGGACAGCTCGGCCTCAGCCCGGCTCGGCCAGCACCCAGGACCCTCAGCGTCCGGCCATAAATGGCGTTTTGTGTGTGTTTGTTTGTTTGTTTTGCTAATCCTCACCCGAGGATATTTTTCCATTGATTTTTAGAGAGAGTGGAAGGGAGGGGGAGAGACAGAGAGAAACATCGATGGGAGAGAAACACATCAATTGGTTGCCTCCTGCACGCACCCCGACCAGGGCCGGGGAGGAGCCTGCAACTGAGGTACATGCCCTTGACCGGAATCGAACCGGGACCCGTTGGTCCACAGGCTGACGCTCTATACACTGAGCCAAACAGGCTAAGACATGGTGAGCTTTTTTTCTTTTTTTTAAAATATATCGTTATTGATTTCAGAGAGGAAGGGAGAAGGGAGAGAGAGAGAGAGAGAAAGAGAAACATCAATGATGAGAGAG